ACGTCTTATATTAAATATTATTTATACATTATATTTAAATTTTAAATACATAATTTTATTTGTAATACTTGCAGCTGCAAGATATCTAGATATCTACTTATATTTTAAATTATAATTTGTTATGCATTTCATTTATTTCATTGTTTTTATTAATTGATATTATATTTCAATTTTTCATTTGTACTTAAGTTCACTTATACTAAATATTGTTTATATATTATATTTAAATACATTCTTTTATTTGTTATACATGCAGAAATCTAACTTTATTTTATATATTATGTAGAAATAAGTATATAAAGTACCTACTTTTGATTGTAACTTGTTATACATACATACATTTCATTTATTTCATTGTTCTTATTTGTATTTTAATTCACTATAATATTAAATATTTTTTATACACAAATAGGTATCTAAATAAACCATTTTCTTTGTAATACTTGCAGTTATGTTTATTCACAATACAATAACTACTATAGTTCAAATACATGAACTAGGTATTAAATATACTAAATTATAATTTTATATACATACCTATAATCAATAAATTGTATATACTTGTAATGTTATAAACAAAATATGCTGTCTATTTATTATATAAATCAAAACCTATATATGCGAGTCCTGTGTTTAGTATATAGAAATAATTATAATTGATATAATTCTGCAGTAAGGTCATAATAATTAACCAGATCATTTATTTTGCATGAGTTTTAAAAATGATTTTTTTTCTACTTCTTACTATTTTTATTATTTTATAAAATAAAATACTGTTCTATAGTTTAAATATGTTAGCAATAATTAATTAAATTAATTATAATTAATAGTCAGTTACTTATAATATTTCAAACCAATTTCACATAGGTTTATTATATAATTTAATGATTTAACAGGGTGGTTTCATTTCAAATACATCAATATAAGAGCTTAAAAGGAGGAGGTAGGTACCTTTCAAATAAAATTGTATATGCTCAGGGCTGCTCCAGTGGCATGATTATGGAGGGGGGGGCAAGTCATATAATGTTCAGACAATTTCGATGATTTTTGTTTGTAATTTTGTTTTTAACAGTATTAAATTGTTTAGAAATACAGCTTGAGGGGCCCTAGGGCCACCCAGAAGCCGTCCCTGTATATGCTACTATGCCCAACTATAACTACCATGTGATGACTATGAGACGTAATTAATAGTACGGATTTACATCGATTGGATGTTAATATGAAATCAAATAGTGTTGTATGAGCAGTTATAATGCGATGTTCAGTAGATGTTTATGATTAACTTCGTTTTTATAATGTCGCTCAACCTGGCGTTTAGCATCTCCAGTATATCAATAAGAAGTCCTTAGGATCTTTATATTAACATCACATATCCAAAATGAACTACCTTGCGACATCTATAAGATTGATTTATGCACACAGGGTTAGCTTCAGATTTTTGTAACTGATCACTCAAACATTTGACGGCATTGTATGTTGAATTCCATCGAGTTGTATTTGGTACATTTATATACACATTTAATGCGTCATGAATAGTATCTGCAACTACAGATGTCCTGCTTTGCTTGTTCCACAAGCCTTGCATTTTTGCAAACGATGATCTCATTTGCTTTTTATAAATGACATCAGATAATGCTTTTTCACTGTCTCTTGTTGCAACTAAGTTCAAAGTGTGACTTGCACAGCGATGATGAGGTGGAAGTGAATATTCGGGATTTTGTTCAAGACCATTAGCTAAAATTTCGTCTATTTCTATCATATCTATTTCATCGTCATTGTCATCTTCACCATCTTCATCATCGTCAGAGTTTTCAACTCTTGATCCAGTATTTCTTGTTTCTGATGTCAGTGTATGAACACATATTTATAAAAAAAAAATTAGAATTAATAACAAGGTAAACATAGATTTTTATTTACATTCTTTGAATAAAAAAAAAAATTGATACAACTTAGTTACCTAAGTTGATATTATAATTATTATTTTTAATTTTGCTATAGCATTTTCAATTCATATATATATTATTATATTAAATTTACAAATCCCTTACCTAAAAGCTTTTATAAAGTTGGAACCATTATCAGTGACAACTCTAGATATTTTATTAATTATCCATATTCGCAAAATATAGAATGTAATACTTTTGCCAAAACATCAAAAGTATGTCGACCCTTTAGCCTCCGACAAGCAAGAGCTGCAAACTTTTGTTCAATAGTTAATGGATCAAATCAATGAACTGTGACTCCTATGTAGCTCCTAATAAAATAGACTGTCGGTTAGCAACTACCTATAAACAAATTATTTCAAAACAATGACTTTATATTCGTACATTCAATATTCAAATTCAATATATTTTATATTATTATTATTATTGAGTACCAACCATAAAAGTACTGACCCTGTACATTCTAATCGAATTTAATTGAAGTTGTAACGACGATGCCGTGGTTGTTACCTCAAATGCATCTGTTAAATATATTTTTATAAACTGCCATTTCGATACATTTTTGTATTTAATCATTTCTAATGCTCTACCCGTTAAACGTGTGGTAATATATTTTACTAGTGTTGGTGCACTGTTTGTGTCGACTAAACTTACTGCCATATCGCATGCATTTATGAATTGATAGATATCGTCTATTCCTGTGCATAGTGGAATTAATTTAAAAGCGTCTTCTAATTTTATGGTTACTGCCATTTTTTTAGTCCGTGGTTTAGATACAAAATCTAACGACTGATGTTCAAAACTATCTGTAACTTAGCTACGTGTGACTACTCTTGGACTTGAGTTTCTACTTGCGCTATCTCCTAACTGAGTTTCTACTATAATATTCAACTGGGCTTTCTGTTGGGCTTCAAACTGGGCTTGGGCTTCTCTCTGGGCTAATAACTGGGCTTCTAACTGGGCTTCTTCGTTTACACTAGTGTTATACAATGAATTAGCTACGTTCAAGGGAGATGTACCTTCTTTGTTCATAAATTACTTAGCTACCAATTTAATACGTTAATACTCATAATAATAATACTCAAAAATGCCCTTTAAATTCAATAATAACTTCAATAATACGCCCTCTAATAAATTCAAATAAACTTCAATAATACTTCAATAATAAAAATGCCCTCAATAAATTCAAATAAACTTCAATAATACTTAAATAATAAAAACGCCCTCAATAAATTCAATAAACTTCAATAATAACTTCAAAAAACATGCCCTCAATAATAAACTTCAATAATCAATAAATATGCCCTCAATAAATTCAATAAAACTTCAATAATAATCAATAAAATATGCCCTCAATAAATCAATAATAACTTCAATATAATAGTATTCAAAAATATGCCCTCAATAAAATTTAAAACGTTTTACACCATTATACTTATAGTCAACTACTTAGAGTTATCTAATATGTCTTAGTTATGTTGCATACGTCTATGTAACAAATTTAAATAACTATTCACTCACAATAATGCTGTGTTCCTGGTTGCTGATGACATGCTGATGGATTTGTTGGTACCGCGACGTGACTTATTTGTTTTTGATGGTTCTTCTTGGAGTTGTCTTCTCGGAAGAGTGTACAGTTCTTCTTTGTTGACGGTAGCCTTTGACGGGTTGCCTCCTTTGAAAGAAATCCTACTTCGACTGCGCCAGTGTTACATGCGGCCTTTCAGGGATCCAAAGGCTGTTGCACTTTTACAATAAAATGTAGTCAATTTTAAATATAAATCAATTGTATTTTATTAAAACCAATAATAATTAATATAGTCTTGGTGAATTGCAGCGTCGTGAATTGACTCGTTGTAGTAGTTGATAATCTCCATGTAAGTCGTGTGTAATGGCTGGTGCATAAGCTGCTCGCTCGGTCTTGGCGGCTCTGGTACATCTAATTTGTATTGGGGCCCTAGCCTCTATATATACTAATATACGAAGGCGACGCCCTTTGAATTGAGCGGCGCGTGGCATGTAGGCGCCCTTGGGAAGTTGTTGTGGTTCGAAGCGTCTATTCTAGCTATGACCACTTTTGGGTGCGATCGACGAGGCCGCTATCTACAGAAGTTGTTCTTGTTATTATGAGCGTTGTACATGAATTGCGTAATCCCATTACAAATTGAACTAATTGAGTTCTAATTAGTTTTCTAACTAAAAAAGATTGGAAAACGAGATAGGTTTAATTGTACAAATGGGTAGACATAACAAAAAAGTTAAAGGTGCGATTCCTTAGGACGCGTCTGTAGACGCGCGGCCAATGCGGCTGCCGCATTGCGGCCGAAATTTCAGCCGCGCCAGACTGGTTTTGCCGTTTTTAAATGGAACCGTTTCCTTAAACCGCCGCAGGCGCGCTCGGCGGTCGCGTGCGTCTAGCGACGCGCGACGAGTACCCCCTCAGTAGGCAGTCAAAACGCACGAGCCGCGCGGTTGATGGTAGTCGGTAGATAGAGTTGATTTTTTTTCAGAGAATTTTTTTTTGTTGTAAAAAATGTCTTCAAAAACTTTATTTACTTTGGAAGAAGATACAATTCTCGCAGAATTGTTAGTAAACATCCATGTTTGTCTGACTTGAGAAATTCATTGTACAAGGATCAACATGTACGAGAAAATGTGTGGAAAGAAGTGTCATGTATTTTAAAAACAAAAAGTGGTAAGTATCTTTTATTGATGTACTGATAATTATTTGAAAAAATAATATAATTTAACACCTAATATTTCTTAATATAATTAATTATATTAGTATTAATTAGTTATTAAATCACTTATTTCTATACCTAATATTGTTATTATTATAAATAAAATTACATTTTTATATAATTATTTTACTATATATCTTATATGTAATTTAATTAATAATAATAGTAATGATAAAATTCAATATATAATAAATAACCATGAATATTGTTAATTATGTTTAGAAATATTATTTAATTATTTCATAAAAATGTTACAAATTATTTACATTATAAATAATTATAAAAAAAAAACTTTCAAAATAACAGTTATTAATAATTAAATGTCAGTTTCCTGTGTTCGGCTGTCTTGCCATGAAACAGCTCCTTGTTCACTATTGAAAAAATTTGTAAATTCATCCCTTACCAAAAATCCTTCGAAATTTGCGTAACCTCCAGATTTAGCAAGAGACATCATGTTCTTCAAAGGTTGAGGTTCGTTTGGATCATAATTATAATAATAATTAGGCACGTTTTCTAAATATCTATCCCGGAGAAGATTATGGAGGCAACAGGCTGATAAAACTAGTTGATCAGTTGTTTCGGTTTTCAAAGAAATGGGAGTATAAAAAACCCTAAATACTTGGCTTAAAAGACCAAAACTATTTTCTGTAGTTCTCCGAGCTCTTGACAAACGATAGTTGAAAATAATTTTTTTGTTATCATTCCGGGCTTCTCCACGAGTGTATGGTCTCATCATATGTGTCTCCAGACGGAAAGCTTCATCGCCGACATGAACAAATGGTAAGCTTATTTCCGAATTTGGAAGTTTTTTTTCTGGCGGAAAGTATTCTTTTTGTTTAATTAATTGGTTCAAACTTGATTTTCCAAATATGCCACTATCACCTTCTTTTCCGTACGAGCCAATGTCGACATAAATAAATTTACAATTAGCATCCACAATAGCTAATAAGACAATTGAAAAATAGTCTTCATAATTAAAAAACAAAGAACCACTCTTTCCCGGACAAAATATTCTAATATGCTTTCCATCGATTGCACCAACACAATTTGGAAAGTTCCATCTATCCCAATATTCACCTGCAATTCGTATCAAATCTTCTGGCGATGGTGGTTTTAATAATTTACCAGTTAGTCGTGAACTCAAACTTTTTAAAACCAACAGTATAATACGAGTGATATAACTTTGAGATATCCTAAACGCAAATGCCAATGACCGAAATGATTCGCCGGTAGCCATATATCTATAAAATATAATTATTTAAGGATTTATTTTCAACGAAATAATTATTTCTAGTTATTTCTAATTTCTAAGGAGTTCGCACTTTCCACGTATCGACCTGACAAAATTTAATTTATTTTAATTATCCACTTGTTGCTAGCATTTGGAATTTCGTAATAATTATTTCTAGTTATTTATAATTTCTAAGGAGTTCGCACTTTCCACGTATCGACCTGATAAAATTTAATTTATTTTAATTATCCACTTGTTGCTAGCATTTGGAATTTCGTAATAATTATTTCTAGTTATTTATAATTTCTAAGGAGTTCGCACTTTCCACGTATCGACCTGATAAAATTTAATTTATTTTAATTACCCACTTGCTGCTAGCATTTGGAATTTCGTGGTACGATTGTGACTATATAGCACAGACCATTGACATAGAGCAATAACTAATAAGTAATAACCATACACCTATAAGCTAATGGACAGCGCTTAGAGAAAGAAGGTACGATATAGGTAGAGTGAGCAAGAAAAGAAACTAACTAGTAAAATACTAAAATGTACACAGTTCCTTTGGGGGCTATTTTGATAAGGCGTTTTGGCGTGTTAAATAATTCAATAAACGATTGCGTTTTTTACGATTTAACGATTTAAAAACATATAAAAATACTGCTTACCCAACATGCGAAGTTGCTACCACCCTGACTGATTAGTATTGAACTATTTTATTTTAATTTTCGTTGATAAAAATATTTTTTAAGGTAAAAAATATTAGATCAAGTATATTTTTATTGTATTTTACTAAAAAAAAAAATATATGTAAAACGTATTAATCTATAATGTACTGTTTATGGTGAATAGTCTTTTCCTATTATGTATTGTGTGAAAAAGTTTTTTTTTTGAAGATATTTGACATGTCACATCACCTCTAATTGGATGTTGAAAAGTTTAGTTACTATAAATTGATTAATTTATACAGTTGACGATTGTAAAAAAAGATGGCGAAATATGAAGGACACCTACAATACAAAACAAAAGGAGTAGAGAAGTCGGTACAGGATCAGCAACTAGGAAAAAGCCTTCCAAGTGGCAACTTTCAGATATTTTATCTTTTCTAGATGTAGCAACTTATGAAAGAGAGTATGTTATTTATTATATTTATTTGACTCAAAATACATTTGGAAATCATATATTATAATTTGTTTTTATATGTTAGAGGTGTATCAAATATTATGTCTTCTGATGCATCAGCAATAGAACACACCAACGAAGATCCTCAGATTCAGAGTCAAAAAAATACTGATGGTTTGTTTGAAGACTCAATTGATGCAAGTGTGTTAAACCAAGGAGAAAGTGAATTACAGCCATCTTCATCAGCTATTGGAGAATCGATTTCAGAAACGGGAGTTACTGGTAAAATAAAAAAAATCGTGGACTGAATCAGTATCGAATAAAAAAACAAAAAAAAACGACAATTTACTTGATGCATTGAAAAAAAGAGATGAAGAAAGGAATAAGATTCTTCAAGAACTAAAAAATATTGAACAAGACGATCCTATTGATGCTTTTTTCACAAGTATGGCATTAACGGTAAAGCAGTTTACTCCAGAATTAATAATTCAAGCTAAATTTGATATTCTTCGTATTGTAAGTAATTTAGAATTAAAGAATAACAAATTAAAAGAAATTATGCCACCCCCTCAAGTTCCACAGCCGTCTACTTCTTCAAGCTACGAATTTCCCACAACAGTCAACCCTTACCAAAGCTCCGAAGAAAGTTCGCATCCAGAGTGGGTAGATTATAATTATTCTACATCCAATTCGTTTGATAGCCAGCAACAAGATAGTGAACAACCAGAGGAATATTGGATTCATTCTCTTAATAAGTAGTTACCTTATACTTTATTTTTATTTTTTAACATGACTTTATAGTTTACAATTTATTTTCTATATCTATTTGTTTTTTCTAAGTTTTTATTTGATTTGTTTTAATATTATATTTTATTTATTTAACTATCATTAGAATATAATTTTGTTACATTTTGCTACGCATATTTCACCATTATATAGCATAACTTATATACCATTATATTATATCATAATTTTGTTAAACTTTTTATTTAAAAAAATATATATACTTTTCTTTAAACTTAATTATCTAAACTTACTAACTACATGTTATATTCATTAAAATTTAAGTATTACATTATACAAATAACAATTTTTTTTGATGATCAAAGTGAATTAATTAAGTAGGTACCCACTCAGTCTTTGTTTAGTACTGAAGATATTCACTTAGTGAACAAAATACGTATTTATTTAGCAAAAAAGGTAAGTATAGGTACACAATAATATAATATATCATACCTATTAAAAAATGTCAAAACTTTACCTTAATGTAACTGATAACTTCTTGGCTGGTGTTATTGGCTGTTTAACTCGATTGTAAGGATCACTCTTGATGTCATCTTCAATGATATTTAAAACATAATTAAATTGATCATAACTCAATCGAAAAAATTCTCTGAATTTGGTTTCATCTTTAAATAAATGTTTCTCAATTAAAATGTTATAAAAGCCCTCAATTTTTCTTTTGAGAAACATATCATGAATATTGTGATTTTTATTATTCATTACATGTTCGATTATATCTGTTTCTTCGTCGATTTGCTCCAAAAGCATTAATTTAATAAGCATTTTTTTTTTCTTACTGCGCAACATTATAATTAATTGTAAAATATGCACCAGTAGGTATAATATAAATACACGAATGACTTGTTAACCGTTCAGATGTACAAGGGAAACTGGAAATGAAAAAAATTGGAAACTGTATAATAAAATAAAATACGCCGTGCGTCTCTTGCGGCCATATTTTGTATTTTCTAGGGAATTCGTCATTGAGCCGTGCGGCTCGTGCGGCCGAAATTTCGGCCGCAATGCGACAGCCGCATTGGCCGCGCGTCTACAGACGCGTCCTAAGGAATCGCTCCTTAAGCGATCTATTGAGTTTGGGGGTACGGCAGGCCCTATTTTTATGTGCACCACGACACACAATGTGCACTACGAATATACAAGTGTGCACTACGATTTGAACGTGTGTGCACTACGGTCTACAAAACAAAAATTGCCAAGTCAGGGATCGGCATGTAAACTTTCTTGATTTTGAATTTTTAGAAATTTTTTAACTGATTTAATCACACCCAAGCGGTCAAACAATATGAATTCAGAAAAATGTCGGCGTGAACAGCCCCACAAAAAATCATTTTCATTTTCATTTAGTGAGATAGATCTCCGAAACCGGACAGCGGATTTCGTTGATTTTGGTCTTGTTGGATTCACATTGGTTAGGAGAAGTGCAGTGAAGATTTGCAGAACTTTATCTTTATAGTTAATTCACTACAGAACATTAAAATAAATTAAAACAAATTTTATTGGGCGTTTTTTTATGTTTTTCATCTTTACAGCTTTGTAATGAATTAACGATTTTAGATAAAGTTCTGAAAATCTTCACTGCAATTCTCCTAGCAAATGTGAATTTAACAAGACCCCAAACAACAAAATCCGTTCTCCAGTTTCGGAGATCTACATCTCTAAATGAAAATCTAGAGAAAATAACTCTTTTTTTTTATCGGTGAAAAATTAAATAATTAAAAAAAAAAAAATTAATTCCATATTTAGTGTCTACCTGATAATCCCTTTTTAATGAGTTATCAACCAAATTTCTAGCTAGGTATCATAGTTTAGGATAAAAGTTAAAAAATAGAAATTTTGGGACTGTTCACGCGAATGTTTTTATCGATTCAAATTGGGTATACCGCTTGGGTGTGATATAAAATCTCTCTTATTAATATTTTATATTAAAGCTAGCTAAATTACCCACCTATTCATCATTACTGAGTTACATTTTTATTATTTTCCTATTTAACACAAATTCTTGAAGTTTTCAAAGTTCAGACTTTTTTCATTTCAATTACTATACTTACTTGATGAAAAATCAAGAAAGTAATATGCATTGTTATGATTTTAATTATTAAAAAGTTAAGTTAAGGTTTTTATTATTATATTATGCTATTTAATTTTTATGATTTTTATTAAAAGATAAGTATTTTGTTGTTTTATTGAATTGCATTGTTAAATTATTGTATACATCATGTAATATGTATTATGTAATACATTCCTTTTGCTAAGATGGTAGCGAGAATAAAATGAAACGTGCAGTCCTAAATTTTACAAATAATAGGGCCTGGGGTACGGTATTCAAATGGATGTATGGAATAGCTGATGATGACGATGTACGAAGATATGATAGTACGATGGATAAATTAGAAAACAATGAGAAAGATGTAATGCGTATTGATCATGATCAGATATTTATATTAAAAAGCACAATAATTAATTTTAACGATTCTGTTACATCATTTAATGAAAATAAGAAAATTTTTGATTCAAATATGAAAGCAAGCGAGAAAAAAGTGAACGAAATGATTATTGAGATAGCTAAGGAAGACAGAAAAATTATTTTTACTTTATATTATTTTTACTTTATATTTTTTTTTACTCTATATTTGAATTGGACAAGTAGGTTGCAAAGAGTAATTTCTAACGTACAGAACAATATAGTAGATGCGTTTATAATAACACCCGACCAATTGCTATCGGAAATAAAAAATATTCAGACAATTCTCAAGGATGATTTGAAAATCCCTGTTAAATTTGATGAGGATAATATTCAAAATATTAAGTATTGAATTGCACACAGTAAATGACAGATTTATTTTTTCTTTAAAATTTCCTCTTTGCCTAATAGAAAATTTCAACGTTTATTACATATTACCGATTTACATTCCAATTAATTAACATGGTCAATTTCTCCATATGACTAAAAATTCTATGTATTTGTTAATGGACAAAATAATGACCAAATATTTTATTTGGCCAGATTTAAATAACTGTAAAGTAGTGGAAAAAATATTTGTTTGTGGATTTAATTAAATTATACATAATTGTGACACGGACCCCACATGTGTAACAGAATTACTAAAAAATTCTGTAACTAAACCATCTCAATGTGATACTTATATCTCTGAATTCAAAACAGAAATGTGGTATCCCTCATTTTTCAAAAATCATTGGTTTTTTGTATGTGAAAAACCCACTACAATTACTATAATTTGTAATAAACAGTCTTACACTCAAAAAATAAAAAGTCCTGGAAAGTTATACTTGAAGTCTGGGTGTATTGCTTACACCTCGAAAGGAGTACTAAAAACTGAACAAGTATTAAATCAAACATCATATTTCTCAGTTCCAGAAGACTTATCTCTTACGAATGATTCATGCTGTAATGTATTCAATTTTTCAAATCAGGCCTATCCCAAACCGATTCACTTCGATGAAATAAAAAATATTAAATTTAATAAAGAAGCGTTCAATAAAATAAATAAACAATTAGACCAACAAGATATGTTACTAAATTCGCTTATTGTAGATAAAACGTATGAATTTATACACACAAACAAATATTTAGTTGTCATAATAATAGTGTTTTTATTATATTTTATAGCAAAATTTTAGGTATAAATGCAGTTTTGTTCCCACTCGATTTTTTTGATATTTTCCCCCCAAAAATATGTGTTTTAAAGCACTGAATACAAAAGTCTAATTCCAAAATTCATTATTTTGGAAGTTTTAACTTACCAAAGTTTACGATTTTACGCATTTACGTGTGCATGCGCGCGAAATGATGTACACTTTGCTTTCTTACGTTTTCGTATTGGATTGTCGCCTATTATTAATTATGTTATTTTATTTTGTTATTATTAAGATTATTATAATTTATAATTAACGAATTTCAAAAGGTAATAGAACTGATAATGTTTTATTTTCGTATTAAATATTACTGTTTGAGGATTGCTATGTTAGTGCCTATATGCGTACTCCAGATGACTACAGTTTTTGTTACAGTTACTACAACATATCATTTTAAAATGTCATTTGTTAATTTTATTGACTTATATGATATATTTGAACATAAAACCAATGGCCCCGTCTCAATAAGTGTAATAGAAAAATTGCAATCGTGGAATTTGTTGGCCCGTGACGGTGTGTTAAAATGTAAAAATTGTCATTATTTAAAATTATACCCTGATGTGCGTTCTTTAGACAGGTTTGGTTGGAGATGTAGGGCATCTATAAATAAACAAAAAAACCGATGCGACTATTATCGATCGATTCGCGTAGATACATTTTTACATAAATCGCATTTTTCGTTATACCAAATAGTATCGTTTGCATATTTGTGGTTAGAAAATGTGTCATTGTCATTTATTATAAAACAAATCAAAATTGCTCAACATACTGCTGTTGACTGGTCATCATTTCATAGAGAAGTCGTCTTCGAGGCTATGATTACAAATCATAATAAGATAGGTAAGTTTAAAATAACATATCTTAGAATTACAAGTTAAATCATTTTTTTTACACTTTTAAATTAATTAATTCATGTGATAGGTGGAGTCGGTCAAGTTGTCGAAATTGACGAGTCCAAATTTGGTCGAAGAAAATATAACCGCGGGCATCGTGTAGATGGACAATGGATTTTTGGTGGTGTTCATCGAGAAACTGGAGCTTGTTTTTTAATACCCGTAGAAAAGCGAGATAAAGATACCCTTTTAACAGCAATCAATGATTGGATCTTACCAGGGACTACAATTATCAGCGATTGTTGGAAGTTATAAATACCTTAATACATTTAGTTTTTACCCTGTGACCTACATGAGGTGGTTTTGCACAGCAAGTGGGGGATATTTTCGATTAGCGGAGCGGAGCGACGGCGCCGAGGAGCGTAGCGACGAGTGCCGCTAGCATATTATAACTGACACACTTTATCAAAGAATTGATATTTTAAATTACATGTCTGAGCATTTCCTTCCTAAAGTGAATTATTAATTATTGCTAGTTTTTATAACAGTTTTTTTATAATTTTTACGGTAGTCGCGATAACCGACAAGTACCGCCGAGGGATATTGTGATACCGAGTTGTAATATTGTGTTAATTTGTTTTATTAGAGTTATCAATGTTTGGAAGATGAAGGATTTGTTCACTTAACGGTGAATCATTCAATACAATTCAAAAATCCGGAAACAGGAGCTCACACAAATAATGTTGAGGGAATGTGGCGTCACCCCAAGGCTTCGCTTTCTCAATATTGCCACAAAAAACGGTTTTATGGTGGGTATCTAGCTAAGTATATGTTTCTGAAAAGGTGTCGTATACTAAATATCGAACCTCTGACGGAATTTTTTTAACTTGCTGGTGAGCTGTATGACCCAAAAGCGATACAAGAATATAATTTATTGGTAAGTGATGATGAAGCGTCTTCTGAAACGGATGCAAGTGACGAAGATCTATAACAGGGGTCGGGAACCTTTTCGTAGGAAAGAGCCATTCTTTTAAAAAAATACAAAACTATAATATCCAGGGAGCCGCACAGCCTGTGCGGCACAGGTTTGAACAACCTTTTTTTAGTAGGCAATAAAATAAAATCATAATATGTCTTAAATTTAGAAAATATAGAAAAACTTTATTTCATTAATTCATTATTATTATTATTATTGTTTATACAAATATAATATTATTTAATTGAACACAATAAAACACAAAATAACGTATCTATTTAATATTAGTGGGATTTTTGATACTGAATTTCTCCAGACAGCTTATTCAATTCTGGAGAGTAATCTGTATTTTTAAACTTCAAACAAGCATCAAGGCTGATATCATTCAGTTGATTTCTTAATTTATTTTTAATAAAGTTCATATTTGAAAATGTTTGCTCACAAATGTAAGTAGATCCAAAAATGGTCAAAATTCCGAAAGCGACCATTTTTAATTGGCTGAAACTTTCGGGAATACTGTTCCATACGTCAAATATAACTTGCTCTTCTTTTTGACATTTAGCGAGTTCCGTCCATTTATGGTAGACATCTCGAAGTTTATAGAAATACCTCTTTGGAAAAAAAGCACAAGAAAAAAATACCGAACAACGTCGCACTGGTTGAATTGACCTGACGAGGACCGTGCTCACGTATCGACTAATATAATTTTGTATTCTACCGAATAATGATAGTCGAGTTTAATAGAACACACACATACATATTATAAACACAATAAAACTAACTATGCGATAAGATTAATAAATAATTATTGAGAAATTCAGAATTATTATCGTTATAATAACGTATAATATAATTTCTATATTACGGATATATCTATATTGATAATTATCCAAAGAGTCCCGCGGCGGACGAGTCGATCGCGGAGAGCGCGGCGTCGTCACGATGTCAACGATTTCAGGTCAGGCGGTCGTTTTTTCTTATTATTGTTATTATTCTTAATATTATTACGATTTAGAAGCGACACTGTGGTCTGCGATACTACAGTGCGACCGTTCTTATACGCGACATTATCCCGGTGGTGGGATGGAGTGGAGCCGCGGGAGAACAACTTTGGCGACGCGACACGCGCCCGTTTCGACCTGCCTGATCACGAGGTGACCGACCCTCTTGCAGCGCACATCAACTGTCACGGTAAAGCCTAATACTTTGTGTTATTAATTAATATTCAGTGCTTTCCTTTGACTTTTGTCTATTCTGCATTGAGCGCTTTTCACCCACCCCACACCGGTAAGTCAACTTTTATATCTCCTACTATATAATATAATATTCAGATAAACTACAGGTGTATTCATGGCAGCGCGTATCGCGAACGAACATATTTTCACCACCTACACACGTTTTTCGTTTTTTGTCATTTGTTTTCCGCGCGTTTTGTGTTTTTTCGTACACCGCAAAATTTACTTTGAATACCTATAACGGTTTTTTTATCCGCATTCGTATTAGCTGTGAGAGGTGCAAGTCCGTTAGCCGTTTCGGCGCGTTACCATTGCTGTACACGTGTTTTATCGCTTGGAATTTTGCTTTAACAGTTAATAAAAAGCTGGGTACCCAATGTCATTTTTCTTATTTTTCTATTTTGTACGTACATCACGTAAGCCGGTGTGTACTCTAACGAGTTTTTCATATTATTTAGTATTTACTTTTTACTTATTATTATCCTTATCTAGCCTCGATTTTTCTTATAATATATAATATAATATAATATAATATAATATATATTTCTTAGCTTTTTTGTGTTTTGCGTTGGGCGCTTTTCAAAACCGGTGAGTACAATTTTGTAATACATAATAATAATTAATAGTAGGTATAACGTTTGTACATCCCACGTACCTACTGTTTTATTCATAACATAACCTAACCTAACCATGCGTTCCCGATTTTAATAAACGTCTATATCGTCTATGTACACGCCATTTCCACCTTTGCACGTTTCGTGTTCTATATTAATACGACATTTGTATTTCCGCTTGCCGTGTTCATATCCGCGGACATAGACTTAAACGCCTACGTGCTCAAAAAGCTTTAAACGACGCTTTTTGCAGTTACGACTTACAAGACCGTATTGTGTGTGCGGACGTCACCCTACGATAAATACTCAATACTGTATGTACACGTAATAGTATTATATACCTACCGTGTACAAATAATAAAATTTACTGAATTTCTAAAAATAAACACACAACACCGGATTATTAACTGATAACATGGGTACTGATTACACCAACAAGGAATTTTACTTATATTATTATTATAATAAAATATATTGTTTGGCCATTACCTTTTCAAAATGTTATTAAATATCTTTTTAGGCAAATATAACAATGGTGAAATATTGCGTGATTTGTGCCAACGTCGATGGCGTGGATGGCGTTTCAATGCATGGGTATTTATATAATAGAACAAATATTATATAACAAAACTATTCGTAATACTATGATTGTTTTAGTTTTCCAGCGAATGTCGATCGGAAGCGTCATTGGGTGATGTTCGCCGAGAACGATGGTGTCAATGCTCGACAGATATTGGCTCATTCCAGGCTCTGTTCTAGGCATTTTGTTGCCGGTCATGATTACCACGGAGCAGCCGTACATGGCCGTCGACTAA